AAAAAAAAAAAGAAACTCATACATTAAAATCTCCATATGAATTATGCATGACAGCAATCCATATATATCACAAACGAGAAAAACTTAAGGAAAACCACAACATGATACATATATATATGATCGTGATCCGGTCGATCAAAAGAAGTACCTCCTAGTGTCATTGCCGCCATCAAACTCCCACCAATTCCCATCCGAACTGTCACCCGGGCCGGGCCCACCTCCGGAGCCCGACCCGTCATCAAACCTTACAAAACCCTCTTCATTCAAAGGCATCATGGGCACCGAATTAGATGGCGGCGGCGGCACAGACGAGGCCGCTTGAGAACCCAAATCGTGCCCCACGGCATTAATATAATTCCCATAGCCCCAATGACTAGTGTTATAACTACTACTATTTTGATTCACATTGTTACTATTATTGTTATTATAATTATAATGCATGAGGTCTGCATATTGGTGGAATTGGAAGTTATTATTGTGAGTGAGGTGTGGAGCAGAATGGACTCGTTCGGGAAAATTGAGCTTCGCCTTGTTGCCTTTGAAGCGCAGGGCAGCCTCGTCGTAAGCCATGGCAGCTGCCTCCGCAGAGTCGAAGGTGCCCAGCCAGACGCGGGCTGCCTTCTTCGGGTCGCGGATCTCAGCTGCCCACTTGCCCCACGGCCGCTGCCGGACCCCTCGGTAGTGCCTTTTCCTACCTACATTATATACATAAAATTTTCAAATGGCACACCAAATCAAATAAAGGATAAAAAGGTCAGATAATTTTACCTTGTTCCTGAGTGGGCTGGGGTTGGGTGTGGGGCGGTGCACCTGACACAGACAAGCAATGGTGATGCTGAGGTGGCACGGCAGCTATTGGTGGAGTTTGATCGGGCGTGTAGCCGAGGACTTGAGAGAGAGCGGTGACCATCGCGGACATATCCTGTTGGGATCTTTCCGAGTAAATCGGGAATAACGGCTCATCAACATCATCATCGTTAACGTGACGATGGTGATGAACCTCCGATTCATCGGACAGAAGGGGCCTTTTCCCACGCCTCGAATGCATGAGAACGAGGTTTATAATTAAATGAGGAAGAAGGGAGCTGCTCTCTCTATATATGTATAAGCTTGTAGGGTGTCAACAGTAGTTCTTTTATAAAAATAATTAATTAATAGTATGGTATATTTTTGCTATACGTACGGAATTCTAAGCGAGTTTGCTTATTTTGACATCGTACAAAATAGCTCAATTGAATTATAGTGCTTCTTCTATTTAGTGAAGTTTCAAGAAAAAAAAAAATATATATATCAAACGACGCAATGCACCTTGGGTCGCTACGAAAACAGCTTCCTTGTATAATTACAAAGGTAAGGTCTGCGTACAACTTATTGTCAATTGCAAATGGAGCTGGAAGAGTCATTTTTGACAATTCTCCTGTCATACTGCTAATAATGGACTAGATTAAAATGACTCAATTAAATTCTAGTGCTTCTTCTATTAGTGAAGTTTATAGAAAAAATATATTAAACGACACAATGTATCTTGGGTCGCTACGGAAACAATCTCCTTGTATAATTACAAGAGTAAGGTCTGCGTACAACTGATGTTTGGGTATGTTTGTTATTGTTGTGTTGAAATGTTTGGATGTGGAATTTTTTACTATTGAGGGGGCGACTCAGGCGAGGCAATGTTCATGTGGATATTTTTAATTTGTTTGGATAAACTATTTATTTATTCACTCGAGTGTAAACTGCTGAGGGTGTGTGAAAACTGAAAAACAGATTTTTTTGGTCAATATTTACTTTTGGAATGTAAACGGAATTTTTAAAGGAAATAGTACGGTCTCGTTACGGAACTATTCCGTCGAGATTTGGAACCATTCGATTAATTATCACCGACGATTACTTGATAATTCCACGGTTACAAACTCGACATATAATAATTCCGTAAATTTATATTCCTGCATCAGAACATGAAAATGACGTATTAATTTTGGTGTAATTAGAATATTTCATCATTTTGTCATAGTGTTGACTATTTTTTTTTTTTTTTTTAAGCATAGCTTAATTAGCCTCATAGTATAGGGGCCTCTAGTGGACCTTCCGGTTTTCGGATCCACAGGGGAACCGACTAATTCGGAATCGAGCCGGGTAGGACCACAAGGGCGGCAAAGTTCTCCCTCAAGAGTTTTAATACTGCTGCATTCTCAGGGCTCGAACACGAGACTACTGATTAAGCTGAAAGAGACTCAAACCATCTCATCCAAGCGCTCTTGGATTGTAGAAAGGAATTTTATTAAGAACTATTCCACCAATTTTGACCTACG